CACTGGCGAATGCTGAGATAACACATTTTATCCTTTCAACCGCACGTCAAGTTTTTCTTTTGGAAATTGGCGCAGATCAGCTTCCCAGGCTAAATAAGTGCATCTAAGTACACCGGAGGATGCGCGCTATTGGCAGGAGCTCTCAGCGCAGCGACGGGCAGAAAAGGCCCAAATTGCAGGGTCGGCCATAACGCAAAGCGCGGTGCGTATGCTGCAGCCGGGCCAGAGCTTTGTATGCCCGTCGTCTCCCCTCCGTGCGTCCTCTCTCGGGTTCTTTTACCCTCTGCGGAAAGCTGGTTTCGACTTGAGGGCAGACCTACTCAAGAAATCGCCAGACAAAACAGAAATCGCGAACATAACAACAAGCAAACCAGGGAGAGAGATCCTTTATAACCCGTCATTACGCACTGCTTCTTTAGACGCCTTCTGTCTTCTTGCTTCGATTTTCTCTTTTTATCGCCGCGCTTAGGAACGATTACAGTTTGAAGTTTTGCTCCTCGCGTGTTTGAAGTGGTCCCCAACTTCAGAGCTTGCCGGAGAAAATGGTGAATCCAGCAATATCTAATAGATTGGACCTAATATGACTGTTGTGTGGACACAGGCGCATAACAAAGGAAGGGTATATTTTGAAATATACATTAACTAGTTCAAATGACGAACTGCTAACTACTTTATTTTGACGCTAAGGACGGTGCTTTTGCATTTAAAGATTTTTGTTGTTATGACCTGTTCCCTGATTTTTTTAGAAGTATTCTAGGGGCTTGTTATTCAGGAAGGGAGTACAACTAGAGAGCGATCCAGAAGAAAAACATTCCAACAACTGAAGTTTTGGGCACCTTCTAAGTTTGAAGTAAAAATACACCCAGGATTGAGGCAGCTCCTTCACGCGTAATTTGCAATCGTGAACGATGAGCTCAGAACAAGGTCGACCGCATTCGATAGTCACCAAGTTGGCTTCATTACAATGAGACACTGATAATAGATGTAGGAAGACACAATTTTGGCAGCGGTTTCTTTATAATTCTCGATTACTCGGCATACCAAACGCTAAAAAAAAGAATATCTCCAGGAGATTTTTATGTCGTAATTAGATTGACTGACTTGAGATAATTTGCGTAGCGTGTTATAATCGCAGTAGACCTGTGTAGGAGACGCTTAAAGCCCGAGTCACGCGGCTTGTCAATCATACAAAAGAGAGTCTGCAAACACAATCGAGACAGCGCGATACCTGTGGTTCGAATGCCGCGTTCCAAGTTTGTCCATAAAATTTATTGACATGGGGCATTCGAAGAACGTATCTTGCGGTGTCTCCCGTTCGAATCTGTAAGCAGGCTATGTTTTGTATGATGTATAAGCAGTGTGACCACGGCTTAAGAGGGTATAACCTGGGCACACCGTGCCAGCCAGGCTGTACATTTCTTTATATACTCCACAAATTGCAAACGTATGCTACAATATTTATGCAAGGACAGCATTTAATAGGCATGTACAATACATAAAAGCTGATTCGATGAATTATTTGAATGATCTTACAAGGAACTGCCAGGCGTCCCGAATTGTTCACTCACCTCGCTGTGAACACTTCCTAGGCAACAACGCAATGTCCTCTAATCGTCGAGCAGAGGATTGGGAATATCTCTTTTCCCGAGTACCTACTCGGATTATTAGGGTTGCAGATCAGATACTACGCAGCATTGCAAGAGGCATCGGGCACCCCGCCACTTTGCAACTGGTCGTCTCTAAGCCGAACAACGCGTAGTATCGTAAGTAGCGCCGAATACAAGTTTCGTATAGCCAAGGTTGACAGCCAATAAAAAGCAAATACGACGGCGGCGCGCACATTGCGACTGGAGGGGATTATTACCCGCCGCTACCATACAGTCCACCCCGCCGCTTACTCGAGGAGGGGGGACTCCTTGCACAACTTAATGTCGCACCAGGGAGCACCGACTCGGCCCATTTCCTTGCCGCGGCCAGGCAGACGTGGGCCAAGAAAACATAAAGAAAAGAAAAACGAGAAGCCATAGCATCGGTCCCTGAAAACAAGACAGTCTGCGACAGGACCGAGCGAGCTGCCGCCGCCACTGCGGCGCGCGCATTACCGGGGCATCCATTATCAAACAGGCGCGGCCGGTAACCATAGAGCCCCGGCTATTTTTAATTGCCACATATTCGCCCCGACGGCCTCGCTGGTTGCCCCCGCGGGCGAGAAGTCGTCCCCGTCGCAAAGTGCAGCCTCGCCTCGCACGCCAACGATGATCGACGGTGATTTTGGGAACGGCGACGCGCGCGCCGTCGCCGAGATGTCGCGCAGATAGTGGAACCACCGGGGGCACTACTTTTGAGCGTCGTACACCGCGCTTCTGCTTGCTTGGTAGACACACTCTGCCCTCTTTAGGCTGCTTCATCTGCCCGACGGCCGTGTCCCTCCCCGTCCACATCACCCCGATTAAAACAAATGTGGCGCTCGCGTGCGCGCACGTCGAGTTCTAGTGCTGTAGGTTTTGTGTCCATCTGTGACGCTTTGTCGGGCCGTGTTTTACGCTGCGAGATTGTCGAGTGGACGGGAAAGTCGGCCGACGTCGAAATGCTGAACCGGAAGTGCGAAGTTCTATATAGAGAGTTGTGAATGGGGAATGTTTAAAGGATTAACCGAGTGCCGTTGTCTGACGTCGTTACTACCTCGCTTTTTATGCGAGCACTGCCAAGTACTCTGGGACACACCGCACCCGCGCAGTGCAGTAAACTCCTTCCACCTTACTGCACGGAAGGCTGGTGGGAAGAGAAGGAAGCTCCCCTCTCCCCGCTAGCCTTCCTTGTTCCACGAACCGCATTGCACCGGAGCGATGTGGGCCCAGACGAATTGGCCATAATGGCCAATTGGTCGGGGCCCACATCGCCGCGGTGCCAGTGGCGTTCGTTAGAAACTACAAATTCAGGGATGTAGATATTCCATAAACTTAACGCTGGCATTTATCATCATGCGGCAGTTCACCGTGTCGTCAATCGTAGAAAATCTTTTGGCGTTCTAAACTGTACTGATATCAAGAAGCTATGCAATTATTTTTTCCACTTCCTCCTTAGCTTTGTTTCTCAACTCAAAGGCGAAATAAAAAAGCCGGTGGTCGGGACGTAGCATTTCACCAAATGTAATGACTCTATGCTCGTACCGTTGTTTTGAAGCACACCATGAAACTTGTCATTCGCAAGTAATGATTAAGTGCCGTCACGACACCCATTGGCCACGAACGCGATTCCAAACAATCGTCGACGGATTGATTGTTGAGGAGCGTGTACACCTGTGTGACACAGTACTAGCGTCCAATGCGTGAGCTGGGGTCGGCTGACGTGCTTCGAGCGCCTCGGACGTATCACAGCAAAAAGGCGGAGAGCTTTCGAACGAATGGAGGTACTAAATGTTCCGCTATATTTTCAAAATTTCGTACCAAAATGCAGGGTTTTGACATTATACCATCTTTCATTTGACCCACTAAACGAAACGCGATAAGTAAAAATCTGAATTTAAAATCATGTATCCCAGCGCAAAAAGGATTTCATGGCCCCTTTGGCCAGAAAATAAGCCGGCTTCAGCGAACACTAGATCATCTACTGATACTATCATCTTTATCAGAGTCACCTGATAGGCTGATACACGTAAAGGTGCCGACTTATTTAGTTCATTTCCATTAGAACGGGCTCAAACAAGTTAACCAGAAGCAGAACTTCTGAACAAGTTATAATGTCGCCCCTTATTGTGTTGTGTGGCGTTGCTAGCAGATGGCTCTAATTTAGTTGCATATATTTGTAATTGAGAAATTCTCGCCCCTGACGTGAGTTTAGCAAAATATCGGAACAATATTCCTCGCTCCCAATACATATTGTATATATACAATATCTGAAGTTGCAAGATGTGTCGCTTCACGGACCACTTACAAAGGCACTACGACGACGTGTCAATTATTTGCGCGCAAAGACTATGACTTACATACTACAAGAACGCACAGACATTTCTCCGAGAGGAGCTAAACTTTCAAAAGTTCCTTCATATTGAGATTAATATTATACTGCACCTTGGTATTGCCAAAAAGCAACTGTATCCGATGAAACACAGAGTGTCTCTCCACTACCGATTGAAGAGTTCGACGGCAATCAATATGTTTGCCACAAAAGTTGTCTCAAAAACCTTTCTTTGCCACCGCTCTATGAGCACCGTCGTCCATAGCACGCGGCAACAAAGAACACTGTCTGAAGGTTGTGTATCGTTTCCAACATTTTGGGGTTTTAGTTGGTCGTTTCGATACCTCCGATAACCTTGCCTGATAACGAAACAATGCACGCGCAGAGGTGTCGGTGGAGTGTCGGCTATCGTTATCGGAGTTATCGGAACACGATATACTAAAACTTCGTATTAAAAGACGTGCGTGGATCGGGCTTTAAACATCGAGAAACAGAAGTTGTTAAGTTTATGCTTCGAAAACGATACAATTGCAACATTGCTCCTGTTCAGTATTATAGGTCAGTTTGTATAGTCGTTAAAGAATACCCCAAGGCGCGAGTCGCTGTCGGGGTGACTGGTCGGGGCGCGTGCAACCTGCGCCGCTCCCCTCCGCGCCGCCACACGCGGCACGGCCCCGGAAGTGAACGCAAAACCCGCCACGCTCAGTTCGCCCATCTGCCGGTCCGCTTTTGTTTCCCGTTTACACCAGGCCGTCATTCACCGCGATGCTCGCGGGCGTTCCCGGCACGTCCGATGCGGGAGGCGTGTAACGTCGGAAGCCGTTGGTGTGGCTGCGGAGCGGTGCACGCGTGTGCGTGCGCGTTCATGTGTGTGTGCGTATCTGGTTCCGACCCAGATGCTATAACCCTGTTCACCTCCTACGCTGCAGGACCTTGTAGATGGATGCGTGTTACGACGCGAAACGTCATACACTATACTATCGCTGCCATAGTTTTGACTAGTTTCCTTCGCTTCCTAACCTCCCCTCTCGTCTTGTGCGCAGGAGACAAGCCCCATATCTGCGAGTTCTGCCAGAAGAGGTTCGCCTTGGCCTGCAATCTGAGAGCGCATTTGAAAACCCACGAAGGTGAGAGACAATCCTCAATGGCGTCTCGTATAGCACGCAGTCGCAAATGAAGTGCCCCACCGGCCCAACCGTCCAAATAAAGGGGTGAATGTCTGATAAGTGAGGGGCTGTATATAGGAAACCGAGGCCGATCGCAAATTTGAACTACCTTGAGTTTATCGATGCTTCCATACGTATTTATATCCGGTGCTCCTTTCGCATAAAAGAGTCTCCAATTTCTTTAGCAACTTGGGACGAACATCCTCGTGCTTTCGTTCATATTCCCGGGCCACTCGTACATATAGCCACTGAAATTTAAAAAAAAAAAAGAGCTCACGTTGTGACGTGTCCAGGTCATCTTATTACCGTTTCGTAACCGGTAAGATTACGTCCCTATTCATAAATCAGAAACGAAACTTTATGGTGATAGAATTGCCATGTGCTTTTCATATAAGAGCCTGTAAAAGAAAAATGGACCTTTCCCGAGAAGCGTTCTGCGCACGCGCGAGCGCCCGATGCCAAGCGGCGGAAGTCGGAACGAAAAATCGAGGAAATTCGGAAGGAGGCTGTATATCAGCGAGTAGAACACGTAACTGCAGCATACATATAATTATGTTTCACAAAAAAAGAACGTCGACGGAAAGGAAAACACGACGTTTGGGTGGACGCCACGGATGCCCCTTTTTCAAGTCGCGTTGGGCAGGCGCCGCTGCTCAGAGAGCGAAGAAACTGGTAGCGTAGCTCTTATTATCGATTGGTAGCTCAGGTAGGTCACTTCCTCGATTTTTAGTTCGTGCAGCCACCGCCTGATGCCGTCGGTATGTGGAAAAGGTCCATTGCTACTAATTCAAATACTTTATCTGAAGAAATATCCTTCTTCATCTTGAACGGTTGGTCAACTTTCGAAGCTCCACCGTGTGTATGGTGGATAGTGTTTAGGCAGAATTCGAGCGTCTATTCTGGTTTACTCAAAGTCACATATGCTCGGTGCAAATATTGGCCCCCAACATGAGGACATCGGAGCGCCCGCGATACGACGCCCGAACTCCCAAAATGAAGATTTCATTCGCCGTCTATAGATTAAGGACACTTACGCGTGTACAGAGACACAAGTATTGCCCGGGGACGAGATGTAGAAATAGGAACGCCGCGATTCATTGCCCATTTCGGGGAAAATTGGCCGTCGTTGCGGCAATCATGGTGTACGATCCTATACTGCCCAATTCTGCCGTCCAGTCTACGAAACCACTTTAGCCAGCTCACGGACACACTCACACACTCGAAACTGGCAACATTTTCAGGCAGGAGCCGAGCTATAAACGCGGATACTTCCGCATATGCAGTCTTATTTTTCTGTTTCTTTTTTTCAGCGAAACATCTAATTGAGCCATCGTCCAAGGTGCAATTAAGTGCGTGTCTCCGACACAGAGAACACTCCAATCCGCGGAATCGATGCCATCTCTTTTGACTTGCCGAAGCAGGTGTAACATTTCGCAAAAGCTACACACCGGCGCGCCGCACGCGTGCTCGATGTAGGACCTGCATACAGGGAACGGGCGATTCGCTCGCATCCCCCGATGTGCTCAGGTACGGTCGAGCATCTCCAGACAACGACCTTCAAAATAAGGCAGGAAGGTAGTTCACCTGTATTTTACGATCCAAACACGAAAGGGAAGGGGAGGTAGGAGGGGGGAGGGATAGTTGCCTCTTCGGTGGCGATCCGACACGCAGGCACAAATGCCTCGGCGGACGCCAAGCCCGTCGCTGACATTTATGGCACAGGCGGCACATCGGTGGACTGCTAAAGCGGCAAGTGCTCCGGGATTACGACGCTTTCTCCCGCGGATAGTCGGTCGGACACCGAACGTTTCCTCTTCCCATGCGTTTTTGTACAGTCTTTCCTGGGTCCGCCGCTGGCTTTTCTGATAACCCACTGCACTGTGCGTCGCGGTTTTAGCCTATACGGCTCCTCTACCGGCGTTGGTGCATCTCTTTTCTTTTCTTCTTTTTGTTTATGTGGTTGTGTACGGGGCGGGGGGGGGGGGGGGGGAGGGAGGGGGAGGGCGTTATTTACTCGCAAGACTTTACGTCGTGAAATACTCTGTTTTTAGTGAGCTGACGTTGAGTTGAGGTTTTAAAGCTGGCGCTCTAGTGCTGCTGCCAGATTTTCGAGAAATTTGTTCTTTTGTTTATTTACTAGATGCAGGCACGCATCACCTGGTGTGTGGTGTTTGTATAGTTTTTTTGTTTTTTTTTCACGGGCGTTTGAGACCATTAATGTTTGTAAAACAAATTGTAGCTTTAAGTTTGCGGAACTGCGGATTGAGAAAACCTCAGGTTTTAATATATTGTTTCTGTAACTGCGGCTTCAAAGATATGTTCTGCAAAATGACTTTTAATTGGGCTTAATAGAGAACGTTATGAAGCCTGGTGCAAAGCAAGAAAGAAAAACACAAAAACGACGGAGACAAAGACGAAGACAGACACAGAGCCGCCTGTGTGTGTGTCTTCTTCCTTGTGACCGTTGTCTTTTGCGCCTTGTGCAGTGCTTCATAAAGGTTAGAAGAGTTCAGAGAATAATCGCTTAGACACCATTTCATTACTAACAATTAATGTAGTATGTCACTTTTTATTCATTACAAGAAAGATATTTTTTTAAGACTAAGGTGTGTAACATTTCATGGCCCCCTGAACACAGCATTGCGCTTAGTCACATTGAAAAAAAATAATATTAAGCGCTCACTTTGTGCTAAAAAGTAAAATCCTTTTATTTGTAAAAATGAACCGTTCTTTTGTTTTAGCAGTTCTAGAGGTTTAAAAAAAGGTTATTTATTTTACCAAATTGCTTCACTTTTTTATATAATATGAAATGGCACTGGTACACCACGATATTGCTCGGCGGACATTAATTCATCTGACCAATACAAGGAATTGTCCCTCTCGCGAGCGCGTGTCTGTACTGAGCTCCGAGGAAAGCACGCGAAAAAGCTATCGATACAGGCATAGGTACAGGACGCTAATGTCCTTTTCGTGAAATGCCTTTGATATATTTTGTTAGGGAAAAAATAATGGAGTATTTGTCTTCACAAATGCACACTGACACAAACTGACACAACTGAGTTTGTGTCGATTTCTTTACCATCAAGCTTACCACAATTCACATCCCTTGAACACTGGTTAACATTTGTCGTAAAAAAACAAAAAAACAACTAACATTACACGTAGCATTCTTGAGAAATTGTTCCCTCGGTTGTTTGTCCTTCGACGAACTGCTGTATTCAGATAATATATGTTGGATCATTGCTCGGTGCCTAGTTTCACTTTTACGAATAGTTATACTCCTTTTTAAACGCACCCCAGACGTGACCAGCTGCACAATATCCCACATGTTGTACGTAACAATATTTCCCGCGGGAGAGCCTCGGGAACACTTGCTTAATTTCTTTGTTCGCTTTGCAAAGGCAGAAGTGTCCTGGCACGTGTTATGTTTTCAAATCCACTCTATACGGTGGTAGAAAAGCTGCCGGTTACAACAGTCGTTGAATGCACAGAAAACAATTTATTACAAACCCGGAGATTAAGCTCTCGAAGTGAAATATTCTGAAGTCAAACTGCGGCCGTAGTGACCCATATTTTCCGTCCGAAACTTTTAATCAAAGTTGAGAAACCGAGCAACCGCATTGCTACGCGAATCGTTCGCCGGAAAAGAGAACTACAACTTCGATTGCCAATCTAGCTTCCGAATTCATCAACGCCCTCGTTAACTAGAGCGTTGCCGAGAAAAACAAATGTAACGGAAAGTACACAAAAATAAATATAAGCAGAAAAGCAACAGTAGCACCCGATTTTGCATCGCATACCGCTTGGTTTGTCCGCGCGTTCTCTTTGCCACGAGACAGAGCACGATACCTGCACACGACGTGGCGCGCCTTGCGCGACGACATAGTCATTTGTGTACAGCAAGCGGGCAGTGCAGTCACCGATGCCTTCGAGCGGTCAACAGAACGAGTCGCAACGCCAGGCGACCCGTATCAGAGCACTGGGAAATCGAAGCCTGGCCTAGATTTTTCGCGCTCCAGCGACGAGCGCGCGCGGGCGCCTAAAAGCCAGGGTGGGGCATAGCGCCGCTCGCGCATTTTGCGGAGTCCGCTAGGACATGTCTCTGGTGATGATTATACGGGCACTCGAGTGATACCACCGCTTCCTCTCTCTCCCCCCCCCCCCCCCCGCCCCAATTCCCTAATCCTAAATTGACCCTCTGTTTTCTCTTCGTTCACTCCAATTTTCTGCCAAGAAGACATTGACGATTCTCCCGTTTATGCGGCGTTGTGTTTTATTAGAGCTTCGCTTTATTTTTTTTGCAGCGTGGCATTTAGATGTTTGATAAGTGGGCTAACTGGCTGTGCTCATAAACTTCTTTTTCAAGCGTGATTTTAGTATTTTTGTAAGGTTGCGCCTTTTAGCCATACAAAGAATCATATTTTATTATTGCGTGATGATTATACGGGCGGAACTGCTTCGACAAGTCCAAGTCCTCTTTACAGTTTTACAATAAAGGTAACTTAGAAAGTTCCGCGGTTTCGCATATATTTCTGCACTATGTACTGATTTTCGTGGTTTAGAACTAACGCCACGTGCGAAAAGAATGATTGTTACATTAACTTAATGTTTCATGGTCATATGGACAATTCAAGCAGGGCTGGTTAACGATTGAGTCTCAAGTTCCATAACTATGACTGATCTCATCTGGCTTTTGAAGCGAAAAATGTACACTGTGCCCCGTAGGCTAGACAATCACCGAGTTGTTTGTCTGCGATGCGGTCAACAAGAGCGCACGCCAAAGAAGAACAATGGGTGATTTCTCGGCACGTGGCTATCGTCTGCTGGGCGGACGTCCTTCGGGGTTTGCATCACATGTCCCGCAATGTCAATTTCTTCTGCCTGTATGTTGTTTTTCATGAAAAGACAAACAAAAAAACGCTTAACAACTGAGGGCGTGTAAGGATAGGTTAGGTGGTGAA